AAAAAAAGAATGAAAGGGCAAAAGAAGTAACACAGTGCGACCCAGCATTCAGGTTGTCTCCCAGCCTCCCAGGGCGTCTTGTTGTTGTCTCAGTGTCCTGTTAAACTCTAGTTTGGTGAGAAGTCGTCCCAGTGCTGCTCTGGCTGACCGAGGCAGGGAACAGAGTGTGGGACCTGGGGCTCAGGGTGTCTTGCTGCAGAGGAGGGAAGAGGAGGTCAGCCTTCCAGGGAGAGCAGGAAGGCACAGACCCGGATGCTCATCCACTTCAAATCTCTGTTGTTCTGCCACCCTCAGATTCAGGACATTGTTGTTGAAACTCAGGAAGGCCGTGAGACTCGTTCAGCCAAGGATGCATTGCTGTTATGGTGTCAGATGAAGACCGCAGGGTATGTGCTGAGATCCGGCCTTTGTCACATTTCCCCCCACAAGCTGGCTCCCCACAAGCATTGCCATCCCAAAGGACAGTAGATATCCTCACCCAGAACTGCAGCTGCTTCAATGTAACTGATGCCCCGTCTGTGCCGACCTGATTCTCCCCACCCTGTTTTGTCCAGCCCACCTGAGGCTGGAATAGAGGACTCTTTCCCAGCGCCACCTGCAGTCGGGCCACCTGTAGTCGGGCCACCTGTAGTCGGGCCATAGGCTGTCTGGGCTACAGGTTCACGTCTTAAGGGGAAGCCTTTTTGTGTGGCTGAGCTTCTGCGTCCACTCACATTGATGCAGCTCAAGAAGGGACAGGTCTCTTCCTTTCCTGGAGTATTGGCCCTCTGTTGTGTACTTGCTTGGGGCCACAAAAGAATCTATATCTTAGGTCTTAATGTTTCTCTTGCCTGTAGCTACCCCAATGTCAATGTCACCAACTTCACCTCCAGCTGGAAGGATGGCCTGGCCTTTAATGCCCTGATACACAAGCACCGGTAAGAGGGAGAGGACGGTGTGGGGACTGACAGGACAGCCTTCCTGAGGCATATGGACACTTTGGTCACGGGAAAGTTGCCTGCACCACTCCCTGTCCTTTTCCCCACTGGCCTCCTGTAGCATTGCTGCTTCCCTTAAATCCCCACCATGGGCTCGGTGCCTATAGCTCAGCCGGCTAAGGTGCCAGCCACGTACACCTAGGGTGGCGGGTTCGAATCCCCAGCCCAGACCCACCAAACAACAATGACGGCTGCAACCAAAAAATAGCCGGG